CCAATTAAGGTGTTGGCATACTAGGGAATATTTATTAAACAGGGTTATAAAAGTATTCTGCAGTAGCATACAAAAATAACAAAGAACCTCAAAAAAGTTTATCATGCAAGGTTCTCAGCCATTACGTATTTGATCTTTCTTTAAAGATCTCCATTTAACACTCACTACACACATGTGTTGACACAGCAGTCTGCAATTTAAGCGAGCTGAAAGTAACCATCTGGCACTATAAACATACCAGTCCAATGAAAACTTGGAGAACTGAACCGTGTAGCGAGGAACAACACGTCGCGGTCTTCGAGGTGATCTCTCCCTCTCTCGTCTAGGTGATCTCTCTCTGGAGCGTTTTCTCTGGGGTGATCTTTCCCTGGACCTACGTCTCTCTCGTTCTCTTTCACGACTTAAAAAAATATATACAAGATAAATATTTTTTTTTTGCATGCTGGTAGCACAAAATGGGAGCGTTTTCTCTGGGGTGATCTTTCCCTGGACCTACGTCTCTCTCGTTCTCTTTCACGACTTAAAAAATATATACAAGATAAATAATTTTTTTTGCATGCTGGTAACACAAAATGGTTTCTAGCACAACAGAAATTAGACCTGTCAGAGATCACCTAAGAAAGTTCCTCACAGTTTATTTCAGTACACTGTCTCTTTACAAGAGAGACCAGTTGTGCAATTCCTTTGACAAGAACTCTACGCTAATACCGAACGGTAAAGCCACTTGTGTGTATCACTGACTCACTGTGGAGCAAGAAGCTCAGCTCTATTTCGAGCCAGGTCTTTACAGAATGCTGTGATTATAATCCAGTCTACAGCATACCTCCTGTCATCTTTTCGGTTTGGCATAGGGTCTCCTCCTCTGTCATTCCTCCCAGAAAATCTGGATGGTGGGTCTAATCTTCGAGCTGGTTGAGGCTGTGAAACTAGACGAACAGGGGGCTGTAACAAACCACCTGAAACAAAAATGCACAAGATCAATACATCATAGGGGACAACTACCTACACTTTACAAACATTGCTGCTTTACTGTTTTTTCACTTGTGCCCATTTTCTAAACTACCTTTAGAGTCAAATAAATGTATTTATTATTAAGACCCACCCTAAGATCAAGAGACTGATGCTTTTCTTCACTAATGCAAACTGGGACTCTAGTAAGTGAAACTGGTTTAAAAGTCTCCTCTTAAGATGGAAGCTAATATAATCTCAGCACATGGAAGCTACCACAGTATATAGCTAAGCCTTTTCTAAGGAAAGTAATCTGTTTTAAGATAGATATACTACTATACTCCTTGAACTAAAGAAAGCCTAAAACCTATTTTTGAGACTACTGATCGGTAAAAACCAATTAGCTTCCTGAAAAATTATGCTTAATGATTTATTATACTGCTGCATCAATCCCCCAGCACGTACTTTTGCTGTCTCAAGACATTTAACCAGCTGATTGCAAATGGAGAAAACACTACTAAACACCAATGAAGAACTAGGACTAATTAGAGTGTAATAAGCATTCATCCAAAACAGTTCTGCTTAGGTGATAGCTTCAGACCTTTTCCCCTTGCTTTTACTGTAGGTAAGACAAGACAATTTTATCTTATTGTCAGTCCTATTCCTGATTCTTCAGCCACTCAAAGTTCAAGTGGCCCCACAACAAGCTTTGTTTTAGATCTGCCATGTTCCGTGCTTTTTCTCTCAAATGCTAACTTGGCTAACTGAAATAAATAAAACACAAATACAGAAATATTTCTTTAACAGTATAACCGTATGAAACCCTATCTGCTTGATCACTCCAGAAGATGCTGAAGAACTACACTGCCACTAATACTTCCAACTCCCAAACTTTTCTGTGTGTCAAAATAAAAAATGACGTTGAATTTGCTTTCAGATTATGAAATCTTAATATGAACAAGAGGCCATGGGGATTTCACTAACCAGGTGATTCTTGAGCTACTGCAGGCAATGTGCCTTGCATATAGCTGCAGCAAGACACATATTTAAACCGTAAATTCTTTAAGGACCCTCCCAAGTTATTTGAGCTATTACTTCAGTCTTCTGACTAAAAACAAAAACCAACATAGAACACTAAGCACCACAAGGACCACAACAAAGTTTGTGCATCAAGGAGCACCTTTCTGCTGGGGCTGCTGCAGTAATGGCTGAGGTTGTGTCTGAAGCAAAGGTGTGATTGAAGCTGCTGATATCTGTGCCTGCAACAAGGACTGTGGCTGTGGCTGTGCCTGAACACCAAATGCAGTCTGCTGTGCAATGGGCTGAAGAACTGCGGGAGGCGTCTTCAGTAACGGCTGAGCTTGTGCCTGGTTCTAACAGCAGAAGAGAAAATGAGTTGTGAGTGAGCTTGAATCAGAAATGGTCAGTACAAGTTACACTGGGTAACCCCACATACCTGATTTGGAAGTGTCTGGATCCTTTGTGCATTCCATTTGAATGGCATATTAGGATTGTAAGTAGCTTCTACCAAAACTCTGTCACCCACCTGAGGTGTCTTTCCTTTAACAGCACTGCAAACATTACAGAAAATGTATCATGAGAGTCTTATTTAGTGAGTTTTACACTTGCAAGTTCAAGCTGAGAGAATGTAGTTACAAGTTCACAAAAAAAAAAGCTTATAGGAACAGCATTTACCCCCCAAATTCAGTGAAAGTACTATGTGCTTCAGTTCGGAGCATGCACAGGAATTTAATTCCCATCTTCAACCCAAAAGCAGAAGTTCCTTAAACAGCACGCAGTTAAGATAGGCGGATAGCAAGTTATATGCATTTAATTAACCACAAATTCTGCATTTCACATTATAAGGAGTTTAACACCTTCTGAGCCACTCAGCTTTTGGTTTTGCATTAAGAAAACTCAAAAATTCACACAAAGGAACTCAGATGTAATGTCTATTAACTTATTTGACCATCTGACTTTCAGTGTTGACAGAAAAAAAAATACTAACTGCAGACACTATCAGTGGAGTCACAGAATTAGAATGCAACCATCTAAACCTTTCATTCAGTGAGGGTATCACAGACTACACCTGCAGACAAGTATTTACATCTTACCTAAGCTGAAAAAAGACATCTTCATCCACAAAACCAAATGTATCATGTAGTTTAGTAACTACCCCAGTGAAGACACGCTGCTTTTGTGGTTGGGTTTGCTGCTGACTTGACCGGGGCGCTGGATAAGAAACAGTTATCTGGGCTGCTGGCTGAGGAGTAGACAGGCTAAGACTGGTAGGCAGCGCAACAGCAGGCTGAAAGCAAAATAAGGCAAACTATAAATCTTATAACCAGCTGACATACCTACAAGGAACAGTTCCTTTATCCACGTAGACAGGAGTTTAAAAAGTCTCCCAGAATGTTAGGAGTTTGAAGGGACCTCGAAAGATCACCTAGTCCAACCCCTGCCAGAGCAGGATCACCTAGAGAAGCAACTATTCTGAACAATTTTCAGGACGTGGAAGTTATTTTGGGTTTGTATTTTTTCTTTGTATGGGTTTTTTGTTTTTAAGATTACTTTTTTCCTACTCTGAATGAAGACTGGCTTTGTTTATCCTTTGCTTTTAAAAAAGTCAACTTCCCCAAAATACACACGTTGTCTAGAAAGAAAACGGAGACTGGTTATTTTTTACGGGTAACCTGTACCAGTGGGCCTGAAGAGGAGACAAGTTCCTAAGTTCACTAGGAATACAGGATGAGAGATTGTTCTTTTATATCCCAGCTGCAGTGTCGGAAGTCAGTAACGGCTGATGCTGACAAACACTTCCTTAATGGAACAATTCACATGCTTGCCTTCTTATAAAACCAGAACACAATAAGGTAATGAAATTAAGTAACTCATTTTTACCTTTTTTTTTAAAGTATGTTTAAAATGTTATGTGAAAATGGAACTAAAGCAACTTACAGCACGTTTAAGGGTTGCATGTTTTAAACCTGTCAAGCTCAGTGGGATTCTTTTTAAACCTCTCTATACAATACTTCAATAACTTTAACACAAAGTTAAATTTCTTCTCAAAGGAGAGAAAGATTTCTCTTCCCAGTTTGTTGCTTACTGCAAAACACCACAAAGTTCAAATGAAACATATTATGATGTAATCAAAATACGTATTACCTTCAAGATTAAGGAGAAGTGGCTGCCATTAATTTTTGAAACCAAGGCTATGTATATCTTAACATCTGTATCAATAAAATGTCCACTTCTTTCAGCTCATTTTACAGATTAAATCGCCCAAGATGTCACAGATTTGCACCCTTGTGTTATTTGTGTTTGGGGATTAAGACCAAACAATAAATCCAAACTAACCTGAGTTAAAAGGGTCTGCTGAGGTTGCTGCAACTTAAAATAAATAAAGTTATAAATTCATTTTATATTCTTAAGGAAATTGTACAATTTTACCTCCTCTTTACAAGTAAGAGTTTCTGCTTAATCGGAGTTAGTTAATAGTCCTTTGGGGTTTGGTCATTTCAGCACATGCATAAAATTGTGCTCGTGCTAATTTTAAGATTGCATAGTCCAGGTTTATTCTGTAAGCAAAAACGCTGGCTTTTTTGTAACTGAAAGTTAACAGCAATACCAAAAAAATGTTTTGGCAGCTGGAGAAGCTTAGGCCTGTAATTTCCACATCCTTTTAACAGGATTTTGAAAAAGACTAAAAGACCATTAAAAAATGTAAAAGGGAACTTATTTTGGACAGCATCTTTCCAGCAGTTAAAATACACAGCCCTGTTTAGAGCAAAGTTTAGCAGGAATCGTGTACACATGGGATAGGATATACTTCTAAATCTCCTTTTTGCATGAAGGCAGGCAAGCTTCCATTCCGGATACGCCTCCAAGTTTATGAACTTCAAGCTCTCTTTTACTAATAAAAAAATATTACTTAGTTTCTCTAACAACTTCCCATACAAGGATGATTTCAGAGACAAATCCTGTAAGACACACAGTCAACATTATTGTAAAGTTATTTGTGATGTACACAGTAAGAATCAGACAAACCTGTTGCTGTACACTATAGAGAGTCTGCTGAGGTTGTGAATATTGCTGAAACAGATAAAAGCGAAATATCTCATAAACAGGAAGTAGTATTACCCTAATAATACCACATACAAGTTATCTGCTAAGCAAGTTTTAGACAGAAACTATTCACATTGAACAATTCTAATACAAAACATAACTTATAGTATTAACATATATTACTTTCATAACAAATATTCTTAGCCTTTACAATGGACTCTGATATACCCTTTCCACCTAAAACCAGCAATTTTGATTAAGCTTGATACTTATACAGTATCTAAGGCACATTATGAAATCATGCAAAATGCTATTAAGGATACAAGTAGTGATGGAAGATACTTGGAACTTGAGATTCTCAGTTTAGCTGAAGCAAAGCTCCTTTTCCCAAAAGGCTTTCTAAAGCTGTAAGTGGGCACCTCCACAGCCAAAACTCCCACCTTCAGACTAATACCACTATTGATAGTTGTAGACGTAAAACCCCATTTTTTAAAGATAGGTTTATACTGCAATGTTCACCATTTCCCATTCTGCTTTTCTCCTTGATACTTCAGCTTTACAAAGCCACTGCTTTATATTGTTAATGTTCATACAATCAACAGCAAACGCTCCTTTTTCTTTACCTGCTGTAACGCAGCTGCTGCAGCTGCAGCTTGCTGCTGTAAAGCAGCTGTCTGAGTGAGCTGATAGTTCGTTGGTGTTTGTGTAGTTAGGCCTGCTGCTGCCAGTGCTGTCTGCTGGGTGTATATAGTAGGAGAGGCTCCAAGCAGCGATGGCTGCTGCACACCAAGAGCAGCTGAAAAGAGAACACACACAATAAGCTCTAAGAGCAACTTTAAACAGCTGAGGTTTCTGACAGTTACACTACACACAGTATGTAATGCTTCACTCCCGAGTCAAGCTCATGAAGTAGATGAATTCAATTCCAAAATTCAAGATAAAGGATCACACCTCATTAGCTTCTCTTCTAAATTCATTTACAAACAGTACACCACAGCAGAGGCACAGAGACTACTTGATTTCCTTCTCTCAAGTTACTTATGATATTACAGCTCTAGCAGTTGTCATCCCATCTGCGCCCACTTGCAACACACACATACACTGTATTATTTCTCGAATGTATTTCAGGGTTGGATGAGCCAGATGAAGGTTGTTGCTCTTAGATAAGAGGTTTCATTCTATCTGAGGGCAAGATAAACGTTTACTGTAATAGCATCTATGAAACAGAGGCTGATGGAACACGTCCTCTGAAAACGCACCAGGCTTCACTTTCACTCACTTCCTACTGTCTTTGTCCCCAAGTGAGCTAGATTTTGTAGATGTGGGGGCTGGTAGAGAAGAACAGCCTTATAACAACAGAGACTTTAATGAGTCCCCATATATAAAGGGACCAGGTCAAGCTCTCTCCAACTCTTTCTAGAAAGGGTATCTGCTGCCCAGACTCAACTACCTGGAAGGGAAAATCAGTTTGTTTTATTGTCCTATCAGTTTTTAATTCACTGCAGAATATTAAGCAAATCATGAGAAGCAGCTATGCACATGCTATGCTTCTTATGCACGCGATACTTGCGAACAAGGTACGCTTAAAACTTACGGATGTAACTTTCAGGAACATAGAGCCTTGCACAATGCAAAGCTGAGCGAAGAACAGCAAGCTGTCAGGAAACCTGCTCTCTCTTTTGACAGGAGTTGTTAAAAAAAGTTATCTGCTGCTGCATGATCAAATATCACTTCATCAAGTCCACATGTTTAAATAAAACCAAACTGAAACCGAGTATGTAAAAATATTGCCAGCAAAAACAAGTCGGCCAGCCACCTCCAGAACTGAAGAACATTCAGGCTGGACAGGGTTCCTTTCTCTTCCGAAGCCGTTAAAGGCACAATGAAACAAAGAACAGATTTACAGTATTCTTCCTGCAGAGTTTGTGCTTCACAGCTTTTTTACTGATCCAAACTGAAGCCCTCATTCCCGACACAGAGATGCAGTAAAAGATTGTTTGTAGTTGGTGATCATCACCATAGAATACACAAAAAATCCTGTAACCAACTCAACAGATCCTGAATGAGGCAATTCCCTCTACCGCGCTGCTCTTTCCAGCAGACTACACTCTTCAGAAAACAAGTTGATGGCACTAATCATCTTGCAATATGAAAACAACAGTGAAAAATAATCACCATTACTCTGATCTGCATCAAATACTGTCACATAAGTATTCCAAGAAGTAATACTATTTTAATAGTGAAATCAAGCATTCCATAGTACAGCAAAATTACAGTATTACGTGACTTTGTCCCCTGGAAGATTCCAACATTCACGATTGTTCAGAAGCCAAGCAAGCCAAATCTGAGGGCTGTTTCATGACAGGCCCTCCATTCTCTTGATCCTCTTCTCTCCTGCTTGTCCATCAGCTCTAGTTTGAATGTGCATTTCTGACCATCCAGAAGGCTCATCTGGAACCTTATCAAAGCCTCACGTAACACACCTCTGACATTTACATCTATGAAAATGCTTTGCTGCTGCATCCTGGGACAACTTCATATTCCCACATGCTGAGCAGAAATTCCTGTTAGTGCATAAACTCACTTCACGGTATTATCTTTGTATCTGTTTGACTATGCTAGCTACTGCCATTCAGACTAATGTTCTATTCTCATGCTGTACCAACACAGGGGGGATGGACTTGGAAAGCACCATCAAGCAAATTTCACAATTTCTCTCCTAGTTTTTGTACCAAGGATACCCACACAAATATTAACATGCTTCTCCCAAAAACAAAGCTTGGGGTTATCCCACTCTCCAGTTTCCACTATGACCATTTACTTTCCAGCATAAACCACAATTATCTCAAACAATTCCCACCCCAAAACTCTTATTCCATTTTGTCCATGAAAGAAAAAAAATAGTTGTCACCTCTACCATCATTTTATGAGCACTGAATGTTAACTGGGTATCATGTCATCTACAACACCACAGATCAATTTACTAACAAAAGGCAAAGACAAAACACCGCCAAGATCCCTCAAAGGTTAGCACTTGTACTAACAAGTTTTTCAAAGTTATATCTTGTTCCTGCTGATTTGCCCTGAAGTATTCCAGGAGTCTGACTACCTTTCATCTACGTACTCATCTCGGTCAAACAGGCTCTGATTAAATAGGTGACCATGTTTGCATTACTAGTTTGGTTTTCTTGCTTGTTTTTCCAGAGGCAAAGAATGAATCGTGGAACTGACATGTGATTGCCATATTATTACTATTGGCAACAAACACCTGCAGTGACAAACAGCAGCTTCTTCGGATTTGCAATTATCTCAGTAAGTGCAGCGATGGAGATGCCTTCTTTCAAATGCAGTCTAAACAACTCCCATTCACACCAAACACCGCATGGCCTGTCCATCTGAAAGAGCCTGGATAGAAACTGGAGTCCTAGGCTGCAGCTCAAGCATCTTCTTCAGTAACAGAAATTTCTGTTGCAGCAAACACACAGACAGTATTTAGATGCTTCTAAATTCCAGAGACTCTCTGAGATTAGGAATCGTGGAACTGACATGTGATTGCCATATTATTACTATTGGCAACAAACACCTGCAGTGACAAACAGCAGCTTCTTCGGATTTGCAATTATCTCAGTAAGTGCAGCGATGGAGATGCCTTCTTTCAAATGCAGTCTAAACAACTCCCATTCACACCAAACACCGCATGGCCTGTCCATCTGAAAGAAACTGGAATCCTAGGCTGCAAGCATCTTTTTCAGTAACAGAAATTTCTGTTCCAGCAAACACACAGACAGTATTTAGTAGTCTCTCTTGATGCTTCTAAATTCCAGAGACTCTTGGAGATTAGGGAAACATCTTCAAAGTATGCATCCACGTATATCAGCTTGGTAAGCAATACAGATTTATGAGTATTACAGTAAAAGATTACAGCTCCTATCCAGGGCCTTGGACACTTGTCACAGTTGTCAGAAATTGTGAGTTTGCATCCTTGGATTTTTAAGCTTCCTCAAGCTTAAACACGCTTGCAAGACAAACGCCATACAACCTGCTAAACAAAAAATTCCTTTTAACAGGCACACAATAGGAAGTAGGCTCAGTGTATTTATCACAGGACATCCGCTTACAGCAAGCCAGCAACTTGTGCATCAGCTCCTGTTTCTTAGCGGCTCCGAGACCCACCACATGACTGCCCTATTCTTATACTTTTCTTCATAGTCACTTCATAGGGGCCACCAGCAATAACAACACACTGAGTTTCAGACACTTTTGCTTTCACCAGGTGCACTGTTCCTCACTCTAATGCAATGAAGTCTTGATATAGCAAAGACATCACCACCGATCAACCAGAACGCAGTCTAGCTAGGACTTCCCCTTGACCTCAGTTCTATAAGAACAGGCTTCACTATGCAACCAGAAATCATAACCCTGAAAACAGCACATGCCAAGTGCTGCGATACAAACCAAAGGTATGTTCAAAATTAACAACTTAGAGAACAGGAGAGGATTCAGGAAGGTGTTTCAGGAACTTAGAATCATTAAGGTTGGAAAGGACCTCTAAGATCATCAAGTCCAACCTGCACATCATTATGCAAGTGTAAAAAGTAGTTACAAAAAGCAATCTGTGCTATCTAAGAATTTTGTATTTTTTTTTCTAAATTTAATTTTCTGTAGTCAGCATAATTTAATTTATGCTTTAACAACACTTAAACCAGCATAGCAGAGGCTTTACTATGGCTTTAGTCATGTGATACACAAAATCATGAGACAAGGAGTAGAGAAAATTTCACTGCATTACAAATAGAGTCTCTCTTCACATATTTGTCTTTGCTGGTACCTTGAATTACCTGTCTCTTCTAATACCACAGGCACAGACAGTAATTAGTAAGCTATCCCAAAGGGATCCCAGGAACCCTTCATTACATAGCATGTCACTCTACCACTACCGTAGAGCATCACACCTTAAGAGCCTTAACTCATATAGTTACTTTTTCACTGGGGATGGTCAAGACAGCATCCAAGTCAGCAGTTTAAAAAAAACAAACCCACAACCCACCAAAACAAAAAACAAACAAACAAAATCCACCAACCCCAAAATTACCTTTTTGCAATTATCAAACTGAGTTTATAACACCATCACTCACCTCTTTTGACAACAGCTTAGGAAAAAGCCATACATCGTGTTGCTTGTGTTATAAAAATCAAGATCTCTTTTCCCCCCACACCCAAGCACCCTGATGCTCTGGAGAAGGAACCTGACATTTGGATAAAAGCAGCTGGTATGTATATATATAATATATATATCTTAATATATATTAAACACCTTTATTATTATTAATATCTATTAAACACCTTTTGCTAAACCTCTGAAAATATGTAAGAGTTTGGCAAATGTAGTACTTTTAAATCAGTTTATGACCACTGAGCTTCACAAGGGTAAGCCAATCTGCACATCTTCTTGAGCACAGCCGCAGCGGAGCATACACACCAGTCAGCGTGCTTGAGCACTGACAGCATCTCTCTTCGTCAGGCAAGCAACCTGGACAGTCAGAGCTTCATGTTGAAAAGTGCAGGAAAGGTGACTACTTAGCCACATGTCACCACTAACCATGGTTCTCTGGCTCTCAGCAGGGTCAAAGAGCACTGTATACTTTCCAAAAGAAGTTTCCTGTGCTCTGTATTATAATTCAGCACTGCCAATTGAAACAAAAAAAAAAAAGTAGGTACATACACGGGTACTAAAACAGCAGCTGGGTGGAAGAATCTCAGGGACTCGATTCAGTAGCACAGACAGGGAAAAAAGAGGGCACAGACACAGTGATTGTGTAACACAGTAGGAAAAGGAAAGGGCTGCACAGAACGCAAAGAACTAAATGCCTTCAAGTGATACTGGAGAGGGGACACTACAGTGTCAAGCAGGACACTAGGAACATGAAGGAGGGCAGAACTAGTAAAGAAAAAGGCAAAAGTGCAACCAAATGTTAGTCTTTAATGGCTCTCACGTTTGAGTCAGGTACTGCTGGATCAGATGAACAGCTAAAAAACCCTGGAGGTACTGTCCTCATTGAGCAGGTGAAAAACTCTCACAGCAACTGATGCTGACTGGCCCTATCCCAATTAAATTCTGCACTTCATTTAATTTAAGGAGGCTCAGAAGTAGGCTAACCAAAGGCAGAGTCACAGGAACAAGAAAACGGATGAGAAGTTGGTGCGTTCTAGTGCCCTTGCTCCATCCATCTCTTCTCCAGGGCCCCCTCCTGGCCCTAGCTCAGTGAGGTTTAAGATGGCTGCCAGCTCCTCCCCTTCAACAGGTTTTGTGCAGCTTTCCCTCTGAAACAGGACATGGAGCTGGCCCTCCACCGCTACTTGTGATGCATTAGCTGCCACATCAGCCAGCACATTAAGGATACTCCAGCCCAGGTGCTGCCATCCTTTGATCACTCCAAAGCATCACCCAGTCAGACACAAGAACTAAAAGCAAAGTTTGGCTCTCCCATGTTCCCAATGCCAAAAAGCAATTTTTTTACAGAAGGGGGATAGTGCCATTTGGATAAGGGAAGTGTGAGCTATTCAGAGAAACACTGAAACAAATGCTTGTAGGCAGCTGGTTTGGTACAGCAACATTTTAGGTGGAGAGTGGGCCTGAATGGGCACGGAGGAAAAGGGAAAGGCAGACTGGGACCAAGTACTGTGAAACACAGGGATGGCGGGTGACAGTTCCCTGAGGATATGCACTTAGATTGGATCACTACCCAAATTAAAGACTGGAGATGGAGGAGTCATTTCAGGAAGGAAAACTGAGTCGGGAGATTTGGGGTATTCCTCCCCCCCAATATGCACCTCCAGAGAAGGGCAGGCTTTCCTAATTTTTGCTAAGCTCCCAGAAATAAAACCACTGACCAAGGAGATACGCCATTCAACTTATCAAACTAGAGCAAGATGCAAAGGACAACTGCAAAAAACATACAACTATTCAGACATCTCTTCAGCAAAGTTACTGCCTATGCTTGCATTTTGACACCTTGAATCCTCAAAGTACTACAGCTTTGTTGAAGGCTTTCCACATTAGACAATGAAACTACACTATTTAGACAACACTGTATTCAAGAAGAGAAAAAAGCAGCCCAGAACTGGAAATGGAAGCACCAAAATTCACCACGCAGCAAGCTTCACATTCTTGCCTCAAAACCTTTAATGCTATTAACGATGTAAAACATGAAAATCCAGGCAGTTATGTTTTTAACTACACTAGCCTGCGATTAAATAAGGCTTCTTAGCTAAACCAAAGGAAAGCCTCCATCATTATCAGGGTGATACCTCTGGTTATAGGGATCCTTAAATTCTAACTTGACATTAAAAAGTAAAACATACACCCCTTCCCATTCAAGCTGTAACTTCCACAGACGTCTTCCCTAAGTGAAGGATGTCCAACACATTAGTAAAGGCAAAACACTTCATAAACATTGATTCAGGCTGCCCAGGAGATGAAACTCGGGCAGCACTTAAAAATTCTGTAATGCCTTCTTAGTGCTGTTGTTATTTAATCTAGAGCAATGCAATTTGATAAAAGTTTGCTTGATTTATGCATCTTTGGCTATAAGAAACTTAATATCTTGTTTACTGACCAAGAGAATCAATAAATATTCACTTGGGACTTTACTTATCACCCCTTCAAAAAACCAAACCACATCCAACAAACACCCCAACCCAACAGCTTGTATTAAGCAATGATCTTTAATGTATCTACTGTGTGGAAAAACTCCCAACTTAAACCATTGAGATAGAAATTACATAAGTTAGTTAGCATGGTGCCACTCTTAACTGCACACCCAACTACAGAACCTCCAAATCTACTAGATGTCAGGGTTCAAACATTAAGTGATACGTAAACTGACCTGGCTGAGATACTGCAGTGGCTGTAAACTGAGTAGCCCAAGGGGGATTCTTCTGTCCTCCAAACTGAGCCATGGCGAAAGGCAAAATCTCCTGGGTGTCTATCTTCTATAACTGCAATCTATTAAAATAAAGCGCAGCTACAATCTTTGAAACATAAACCATCAGGCTATTTTAATTCTGGGTCAAAGGGAAGAAAAAAAAAAAAAGGTGTTGAAATATTATTTTTACATCCCTAAACCTAGCGGGCAATATGCATCAGAAGTGGGAAACGTGAAAAGTTGCGAGACAAGTTACTGTATTTTCCTAAAGCACGATCTCCGCCCTCCCCTTCTTAACAATGGGGCGAACGCTATTTAAACACAAAATTCACCCGAGTTTCCAACGAAGACTAAAGAAAAGGTGATTCCGCAGAATGCGGGATTTCTATTTCTTATTACGATTTCCTTTGCAGGGCTGCTCCCAGGCGGGCGGCGGGAAGCGCTGCCGGCAGAGGCACACACCGCACGCCTTCGGGCTCGCTCTCCCCGAACAAGGGCAAGTGAACCACGCGAACGCGGCAGGGCCGCTCACCAACTCCGCCGCTCGCCTC